CAGGCATTTGTTTTTAGAAACGGTAAAAGGTGTCTCCCCATTTTGAGATGATACAGAATATTTGAAGCCTAGAAGGATAAACTTCATGGGTGAGCTGGATGATTTGATCGTGAAGCTTTCGATATCATTCTAGACAGCATCATCAGCATGAACTTCAGAAAGAAGTAAGATATAAGGTTTTCTCCACAATTTATTCGGAAACTTGTTCTGATGGCCTTGTGCGTGAGTGGTTATTCCCTCCAAGATACTGTCACAGTCTCCACATTTTTTTCGATCGGCTGTCTTGACAACTGACCTTCTCGTTGTTTCTTATTGGTCAATAGATTGGGTCATTGTTAACATGTGTGTTGATCGCCGGCTGACCTGAATACCAAGCTTGTAAAAATTCTCTGTCATTCTTTCTATTTCCTCTATCCAAGATTGCCACATTTTTACAGTCGAATTCATGTCCACACTTGCCCTTATGCGTTGGTATGAGTGGAGATTTGTCATGATGTTTCACTGAAAGTTGATGATCATGTGGATGGATACGAAGAGGTTGACCACTCTGTCCAGTGAAGTGTTTTTTGCAGCTTCAGCAGTTATATTTTTGCAGATAATGTTTGGTCTGTCTATCTTTGTTATTGTACCCTTTGGCCTGCACAACAGAGAGAGAAGAGATTTTTTGAGCTTATGAACTACAGTGATTCCAAAAGGCTGCAATAAACAAGATTAATGTTCTAAAAATTATCTAATGTTCCATCCTTTTTAAACCTACGAAACTCGATTATATTTTGTTCCTTTATTACCAATCACTTCATTAGATAAATCCAGGGTAATTAGATTTTCATGGTATAGGTATAAACACAAAAAATATCGGTTTCACAGTACAACCTAAAACTTCATACATTTACTACTTCAAAAAATATGAATTCACGATTCTGCTATAATCTAGGATGTACAAATTAACTTTGATTTTCAGTATTTTTCAAAATAAATACATTCTGATCACCCAGTTTCATCACTCGTTGGGAAAAAATGATCAGTTTTGTCTGATATGACATTAATGCTCACAAACTTCATGAAGGACACTTTTGCTACTAATAAACTATTGGCTACATTCAGTAACTAGAAAGAATGCCCGTTTTAGCACAAATTTTATTGTTTGCTGTTGTTCATTACTTTCAAACACACCTCATGCAGAAATTCAAGACTGAATATTTTTTAAAAATATACCATTCAGAAGAATAGATTGGAGACTTAAGAAAATAACTTATTTAACTGCTTGCCAGTAGATTAGATATGTAAGTATATAGAATTTATTATATTTCTAAGTTACTAGGTAAATATTATTTTTTTAGAGTTGGAATTCATCGTAGACTGACATCAGTTGGAGGAACACTGACAACCTGGGAGAACTGAGAAGCTGTTTCTTATTAGTATGGGACTTCTTAGCAGTGGGCAGCCAAGACCCCCACGGCGATTGAATCTAGGACCTTCAGGTTCCGTAGCGCCCCTTGGTGACTAGCTTCGGAAAGTGATTCCTGAAGTTCCAATGAGAGGTTGTAACCAGTGGAGTCAACCAAGTTGAACATGAGAACAGTTACTCAACGATGACATTGGATGTAGGTCACGCTATATCGTGAACTGACAAAAGTAAGAGATATGGACCACTGAATTCCAACCCAGTGGCTCAACGGTAGCATGCTGGAGACGGAACCTGAAGGCTCGGGTTAGATCTCTGGCGAGGCGCGGGTACACACTACTGAGGAGTCCCATACTAGGACGAAACAGCTGTCCAGTGCTCCCAGGTTGTCAATGTTTCTCCAACCGATGTTACTACATAGTGAATTCCGCTAACCTCTAGAGAAAAATATAATTTTTGTCCAGTGTTTTTCTTAGTTACGCGCTGATAGGTGACGTACATAAACTCCCTGTATAATTATTTTTTTCAAAAATCAGGTATCCGTACAGTCGCTTAACCTGGTGGCTTAGCTTTTCCAATCAGATATAAAAATCCCAAGTAACACCAAAAATGGTAATTATCTTCTTCATAACCCACAAAATTGCCTACCTTTTCATCTTGCTACTAGCCAGCAGAACTTTCTAGGATGATAATACTTCGAGGGAATAAAATTGCACTTGGTGTGGCTCGTTTGGTCATTGTGATATACAAGCTTGACAACTACGTTAAGGTACCAGCTATCGGTCAGGCCCTCATCATTATGCAAGTTATTTATCATTAACTAATTACTCTGTCACAATTTTTTATCCGGTATAACTGTTCAACTTTCCTAACTTTTATCTGTGTTCATGATCAGTAGCCATATTCTCGATACCTTTATGAACAAATTAATTTCTTATTAGCCAAGTTGTCACCATCAGATTGTTTTTAATTTATTGCCTAGTTGAGACCAACTTACGCTTTAGCATGAAGCAGATGATGAGGAGCAAATTGAAAATGAAATATTTCTCGCTTAAATGGTTTGGTTTTAGTGCTTCAGTGGGAGATGCACTCTAGTTTGAAAAATATGAAGTGATTTCCAACTAGTTTTGTCATTTGAGCAAAATAAGAAGAGTACATTTACAAATCCACTCCTTTTTACTTTGCTCAAATTTATCGAAAGATCCGAGTGCATGAAATCGATGACTGTCCTGTTCACATCAGATCAAAATGTATTGAAAATGAATATCTTTTGGAAATACTGATGCATAGTACTGCTGGTATTTCTACTGAAAAAGTAAGATCAAATCATATTTTGGAACTTACTGCATGCCCAAGGTACCCGGTTACCATAGGTTCTGAAGAGAAATTTTTTTACGGTTTGAATTCCTGTACGTTTTGCTGAGAGGATACAGAGCCGATTGATTGTAATAAGATCAAACTGATAATCTGAATTTCAGCACTCTGAAAGCAAGTATCACCATACCTCTGTTTTAATTAAGTTTCCAACAAATGCGTGTAGATTTTAAAAAATAGGCATTTAAGTTGTAGTTGATGTACAACGCCTTCAAAAGATTGCATAATCGATCCATCTGAAAGTAAAGTGAGTGAGTGGCATGAAGTAACTATATTTTCTTACCTTACGTTTAGAATTGCTTGGGAAAGTAATACTAATACCTCACTTTCATATTTTGCGCGCAACGTTTTTAGAGAGATTCTAAAGAAGTGTCATTTGTATAAATGCTAATAATTACATATAATTTTTCGCATTTTTAGGAATTATGTCACTCTCTAGTTAATCAAAAAATACTACACAGGTAGCTGTGAAATCGAGAATTGTCCCTAAAGTATATTTCGAGAATCCCTCAGACAAACTAATATTATCTATAGATAGGACATCTAGGGACTAGTTGTTATCCGTTCAATATAGGCCTGTATGGGATATTCAGAAAAATCTGCTTATAAATTTTTTCCTAGCAAACAACAAACAGAAACGCATTATTAAAGTTAGTGAAGAGTTAGGTATGAAAAGTCTATTATTACTTCACGCTTTTTGTTTGTGCCTAGTTGATAGATTTGAAATCTTACCTACAAAAGAGTGCCTAGTTCAGGAAAATAGGACAGTAACGACAGAGTCGATAATTCGGCCGGTTCATTTGCTGACTTAGTCATTGATAACTAATTATGAATTGACACTTTCCACCTTTTATCTTAGTGGCAGCACCCCTTAAATTATCTATTTAGTTGTTAGTTCAGTTGTAGCTTACTGGTTTAGTTAGCTGACTTCCAACCAGTGAGTCTTAGGCTAGAGGAATGGCTAGCCAGGTAGTATCATAAGCCCCCACACAATGGGTGTGACTCATTACCTACTGGATAAAAATGGCCAAGGTTACTGAGTCAATTCGTTTTATTATTTAGTTGTTTATTATGTAGCTTGTTTTAATCACTCCCCCCAAAAGCATCAGTAACATATCTATCGTCAGATTACCTGACTAAAAATTTAATTTGATCAACAATAACTTTAAACCATAGAAAAACTCAGTTAAGATGTCTTTCCCATTTCGTGTTTCCATATGATACACAGCTCCGAAATAACTGAAAATATATAAAACTCTTACCCGTCACGGATAAATTTGAGCCGGTTCTAAAGAATCCAAACAATGCCATCTTAGAAATAATGAATAAAATATTCTCATTAAGTGCAGGGAAGTACCATGTTTGCTCTGATAGTTTAGAGGAATATATTCACACTGACGCAAACCCACATCACTCCATACTGAAGTCAGTGAACTTATGAATAAGCTATTGAAGCTACTACCAATTGGTGTAGAACTGGCGTATGTAAGTGAATCAGCCACTGACTCCAGCACTGAATGTCATAAAATGAACCTCCGAAAGAAAGTGACTTTTGCTATTATCAAAGATACTTCTCAAAAATGAATGCCAGAAATCAAAAATCCAGATTTGCGGGTTTCGCTGGCTGATATACAACATTTTGTGCTGAAATACACTACGCCTAGCCTATCAGCCACATTATAAGCTTGATTGTTAGATTTCGATCATAGCCAAGCACTTATGACTAGACAGCTACAATGGCTGCCGAATAGTAACCGGTTCGAGCAACTATTGAAGAGTTACTTCTCTAAATCTTTATGACGTCTCGGTGAATACTTCAGTAAACTGCATATTGCGAAAAAGCCTTCATACAATAAATATATAATTAACAGCTGTTTGTGAAGGTATGCAGCGGTAACGCAAACTTTTAATTTAAATCTTCAAGGAAAAATAGGTGATTTATTATTGAAGAAACCTTCTAAAAAACTCTGTAATCTATAACAGCGTATACCGCTGTTTGTACGATCGCAATGATTGAGGTTAAAACAGAATCTTGGTACCAAGAAGATTCAAAATAGTGGTCTGATGGTCATGAGTTCATGATTACATTAGTTCACCAGATAAAACCCTTAGAGACTGCTTAATTACCAGTGTATCACTAGTCAAGTGAATTGCATTTGTAGTTTATTCTATAGCCAATACAAGTTTTATGTTTCAATTTCATTTTGTTTTTGCTTTTTAGAATATTCAAATAATGAAGTTTTCTTATTCCTATAAATCGGAAAGCATATTTCAAAAAATAATGCTTCTTGAAGTCTTCACCATCACTATCCTGCTTAAAACCGGTGTATTCACATTTCGATCTGCTTCAGACATTTATCTGACTCACCTTATCTATGCAGAACAATTCAAAAACTCTAGACACTTAAACAACACCAGCTCATATAATCACCATGTATTTCCAATGGGTCACGACAGCACTTTCATTGAGTCTAATGGCAGTATGAATCATATCTTACTTTATACAATGAATAAATAATCCAAGTGAATTTCACTTGAATAACTCAAATATAGATAAAACTATTACTGAAGGCGTTCTCAAACGTTTAAAAAACTCATTTATGCATAATATTAGTGAGACTTTTATTTCTCAACACTCACAAAATCGTTTAAAACGCTCCTTATTGACTTCAAACTATTTATCTGCCACTATTCCCTCTTCCTTATCATTATCACTACCTTCAACGGTATCTTCATACGATTTGGACTTTGTTCGAGTAAAAATTCAAGGAATTATATTTGATGTAAAATTTCAACGTCCAGATTACAAATCAAATGGTGGATTACATTTACGAAATTTAATGAAACCGTATCAGCATTTGCTATTGGACCCTCAGTACACGGAACAAGTTATTACAGCTTATAATCCACTGGTAATGCAAAACCAAATCTGTAAGGAATTCGAACATAATCTATCTGATCAGCATGTAGCAAACAGTTTCTTCATAGTAAATGATGTTGGCGCACTTGTTGATAGGCCAATGCATGACCGACTACACCGACTATTTTTTCAAATCACATCTGCACTTGGAATACCAAGTATTACGTGGTTACCAACAGAGTGGGACAATTTGAGGTGAGTGAGGGTTTTTAAAAAATCTGCTAACTTATACAAGATTTAAAACAGAAGTTGGAGAAGAGGTTAGTCATTGCAAAATCTGAATGACTAGCTTCTACGCGGACAATAAATTACGTTTTGATATCGATTTTTTTGGGATATTTGGAACCCAGCCAATCCACCTTTTCCCTTGGAAACATTTTGTTTATCGTGTAACTGAGGTTATGCAAGAGTTTATGAAAAAATTTCACTTTTTTTCTAAAGTGAATCAGTGGAAAAAAAGATGGCCACAATCACCCCACTGGAAGTCATGGATAGATAGACAGACAGATAAACTGTTGTGAAACTTGCCTTCCTTAGTATGAACTGATTTCTACAAACTGCTACAATAAATTTATCAGTAGTATGAAATGGGTTGTAAAGTTGAGCATACTGATATTTTGTTAGGTTGTATAGTCATTGACTGACTTAGGTAGATGTGTTTAACGGTAATTACCTTATCAATTTTTACACTTCGCATCCACATATTGTAAAATATTTAGGTGTGTACAGGTTAACTCCTATGAAACCAATGTGTAGTTCACAACGATCTGAATTCTTTTTTTACATTTTAAACTGTTGTTAAATCATTTATCCAGCCCCAAACAAATAATGCTTTTTTCTACATTTTTGTAGCTAGTAGGTATTACTGTTCAGATAGCAAAAAGAAAAAATAGGCTACTGAAAGACACTCTGTTGATAAGCAGTTGTGAACTGCTTGATTTCAAGAAAGTTATGACACGGCATTAATTTTAAAAGACGTCACCATTGAGAAATGATTGCTAGAAATTGGCGAACACTCAGAACTAGACAATATGAGATTGGTTGCCCTCCAGTGGCCAATCAGTTCACCCAATCCAGTCCTGCAAGAAGTTAATCGCTGCCCATAGAACTCAATGTCAGCGTCTCTGACTACAATACTGAGTGACTACATGCGGTTGGGTCTTAAAGAAGAAATTCCTTCCCTTGAGGTTGCTCTCCGACGACCAACCAGTTTCATAATATTTTTCCAGTAAAATTTCCTGTATACGATATTCTTGATTAAACTGACTATTCATCACTGAGGAGTCGCTTGAAAAAATCATTTTGTAGAAAACGAATTAATAAATCAATTATATCAGACAAAAAATACTTAAAAACCCAGCCGAATTAAATGCATAGCTCCCCAATTCTCAAGGTTGGATAAAAGAAATAATCTATCCTTGAAACATAAGTGATGATAGTTGAAGTTTCATCTTCTGTGAAAGTTGACAGACTGAATAAATTGGGTTGCGGTGAGTTCAGTCGAACACGAAAGGAACATTTTTGTTAGCTGAAAAGCCATTCAGTTAACAGAGATCAGATTGTGAAGCACTATCTAAAAAAGCTGTGAGTTACTGTCTGTATGTTTGGCTCATATACCATGACTGGTGAATTCGAGTCGATCAACTTGAGTTGGTAAATGATATAGGCATTTCTATGTGTGCGTATAAAAGCAAAACCTTGCCTAAGTAACTAGCTCACTAGTCACTAACCTGTCGTATGCTCGGATAAAGAGGGAAGGTTAGGCATAGGGCTACCAACTCCACAACCTAAAACCAATCCAACCGCAAAAGAAACTTCAAAGCACAAAGAAAGTATAAAAAATCAAAAGAAACTTATTCCTCGCTGAAATCGGAGAGATGAAATGACGCCAGTTGGTGTAAGCTTTCGGGAAGCCAGTCGGCCGATATGTCTTCTCCTCTCTCGATGAAAGTGGAAGTAAGGATGGAGACATGCAATGTCCACACCATGTTTGAATCTAGCAAGGCTGCCCACACTGCCAAAGAGATGAGATGTTATAGAATAAAAGTGCTAGGGTTCTGCGAAAGCAGGTGGAATGGAAGTTGACTCTCCAAACTGTCAACTGCAGAGTCAGCAATCTACTCCAGTCACCCAGACGACAACCACGAGCACACTGAGTTTTCGAGTGGCTATCATGATGTCTTCAAGAACATCGGAGGCTCCCTCTCATGCAGTGGGAACCAATCTCCTCTTACAGGATCAGGATCATGACAACAAGATTCAACTCAAAAGAAAGGAAAGTCACAACCATTAAATGCAACGCTACGCACCTACAGATAATGCAGAGAAAGAAGGAGGAGGAATCTTACAGACAACTGTAATCAGAACTGGACACGACCCCATTCTAGTTTGCGACATCAAAATTCCAATGCGTGGGATGACATGAATGCCAAACTAGGAGCAGACAACACTGGAAGAGAACCAACCTTAATTCTAGAAGCACTCGGGGAAATGGACGAGAATTGAGAACTGTTTGCAGACTTCTGCACATTCAACGATTTGGTGATTGGAGGAGAGGCAGTGCATACAAACATAAGGATATTCACAAGGCAGCGACATGGATTTAATTTCACCAGATACCAGGACACTAAAAATCAGACCGACTTCATCTCAACCTGAAGAAGGTTGAGACGCAGCCTACTGGACACAAAATCAAATCAATAAATGGTGCAGATGCAGGTTCACACCACTCAATATCTTTCTAGTGCAGGGTAGCTACTTTCCAAGTCAAGCTGAAGGCCTTCAAAAAACTGGTGATAGACGACCACAAACCAAGTTCGAAACCCAGGACAGAAACTTTGGAAAGAAACTACGAAGAACATCTTTGCGTCAGTCACCCATCAGGAAAAAATGGGAGACATTGAGCAACTGCTATTCCGTTCAATTTGCATAAGTTGTGCAAAGTAACAACAACAAATATTGTGGAATGAATTGAATTAATTTAGTATCCTCTGAATCTTTCACACACACACACACACTGAAGTTAACATTTCTGTCCATCTCTCAATCCAGATCAACCTGGGACCAAGTATTACTGAGTAACGGTCCGAGTTGCTACACCTCATATCAGTACATCGAGTAAAAAGGCAGTGGGACACAAGATGAAGATAAGAGAATGCGGTCAAAAGAAATATAAAGTACGAAAAGAGAGAAAGGAAGAATGAGAAAATAGTGAAATTCAGTATAGCGTCGTTAAGATGAGGATAACGTGCGTCGAGATACATCAGCGCCACTAACATCGGTTCTGAGTCTCCAACCACTAGTTCCTCTAGTCCCGCGGACCCCGGCCACCCAGTCGGCATCGCCCCACATGGCTCAAACCAACAGTCAGAGACTTCATACATTGGTGCAATGTTTTAGTTTGGCCACCTCAAGCCTTTTTCCAGCCTGGACTTACTTCAGCCAACATTGTATGACGAGGCAATCGGCGACTAGGCATATGTAACACGTATCCCAACCATCTCAGTTGATGAAGGTTCGTAACCTCGTCTACTGATTTACTGTTACTCCCTAAAACTCTACACCTGATTTCTGCGTTACTCATGTGGTGTCAACACAGAATACGGCCTACACTATGAAGGCAACGGTGGTCAAACACCTGAAGCCAGCCTTCTTATATCTTCTACTTTCAATGGCCATGTTTCACAGTTATACAGTAGAAGAGACCGAACTGCTGTGCAGTATACGCGGCCCTTAATAGACAAACTGATATCACGGCGGCACCACAGGTGGCGTAAGTTCGCGGAAGCCAATCGAGCCTTTTGTATCCGTGCAGAGATTTCATCGGCAACTGACCCATCAGGGCTGATCCTATTTCCCAAGTAAGTGAAGTGGTCGACACACTCAACCACTTCACTCTCTATTCTTAGCCGTGGCACCGCTGAAGACCAATCCTGGAGCAAAAATTGCATTTGGATGGTGAAAACCGCATCCCAAACATTCTCAGATTCCCACTCAAAGTGTTCAGAAAACTCTGCATCTTGTCAGCGTCTTCACTTAACAGGACTATGTAATCTGCATATTCTAGGTCTAACGAAAATTCTCCTGTGATTAGGTCAACGGCTGAGTAATTAGGTGACGAGAGGTAAACTTCCCTAAGAATATCTATGATAAAATTGAATAAGAATGAAGATAGTAGATACCTTTGCAGGACACCACTCGGTGAGTAGAGCTCACCTGACATCTCACCATATGCTCTAACACGTCCACAATGTTCGAGTAGACAGCCCTGAATATGGTGATGTACTTACTAGGCACGCATTTCAGTGATAGACATTTCCACAAGACTTGTCGATCAATGGAGTCGAATACCGCCTTCAGGTCAAAAAATACAGCTAGTGTCGGACGCCGGTAAGCGTGTCTGTGTTCCAAAACCTGGCGTAGTGTGAAAAGTTTGTCAATACATCCGTGGCCAGGTCTAAAGCCGGCCTGATTTTCTCAGGCTTGTCGTTCCCGAGCTCCACTCAGGCGAATTATGGAACCTAGAATCTTAGACACTGTTCGTCAGGCTGATTCCTCTGTGGTTATCACAGGAGGACTTCCTCGCCTCTCTTGAAGACTGGGATAACCAATGGTTTGGACCAATCAGAGGGGATCGTATTTGATTAGCACATACTAGCTAACAGTTCCCTTAATCTGACTAGGAGCACTCCACCACCATCCTTGTATACCTCAGCAGGTAGTCTGTCTGGTCCTGCTGCCCTTCCTTGTTTCAGGTAACCTACCACTTTCTCAACTTCTTCTAGTGTTGGGGGACCTATCTCAATGTACCATTCAGGATCCGACTGGATAGCGGGCAACGCAATGGTGGCTGGAGACCAGTTAAACTGCTCCTTGAAGTGATCTACCCATCGTTCTAGTCGTCTACCCTGCAAGTGAATTGCAGATCCGTCCTTCTCCACTATGGCCTCACTAATCGCAGTTTCCTTAATAAGTCTAAACAAGTGTCTACTGTTACCAATCGCCGCCGCCTCTTCAATCTCTTGAGCCTCCGCTGCCCACCACTGTTCGCAGCCATTGAGTAGACTTTTTCTCAGTCTAATTTTAAGTTGCACTCGCACTTCGCTGTACTCAGGGCCTGGAAACAGGGATGCGTCAGTGCATCCATTAGTTCAGAAGAAGCTGCTGATAACCACTGGCTCTTTTTAGCCACTATT